TAAACAGAAAAAGTAAATACATCTATAAGAGCTTTTGAAAAGATCATCAAGAACACAAGCATCTCAAATTACTCCCCAAGCCTGAGGTACTTAAGCACAGATAGCACTAATGTTATATAGTATTGCTATGGAATAGTAAAAATATTTAAGATTGTAAGCAAAATTCCTTTTCTTGAACACCTAACATAATTTTTTAAACAAGAGTCCTATCTAACTGAAACACCAAAACAAAAATACACTAAGCAGAAACAGAAGTTTATTCCTTTCTGCCATTCACAGATTGAAATAACACTTTTAGCTCAATTATCCCTGCAGCTAGGAAAGTATTTTTCACCTACCTTGAGAGCAGCTGTCATCCTCTTCATCAAGTGTAAGATCAATGACACCTCCTGATTCACCTCCTGTGAACTTCCCGCTCTGAAAGACAAAACTCCTTTGTTTTGCAAAAGCAAATCCAGGGAACACAGGTGGAAAAGGGACACATCAAACATTCAGGAGAGGTCTCAGAATTGATACTTATTAGAAATAAACTGATGAAATGAGCAAGAGAAGGTAATATCAGACAAATATCCCAGGACTCCAAAAAATGGGCAGTAACCAAATGACTGTATTGCAGTAATAAGTATTAAAGTATTTTCAGCTTTGTAAGTAAGGAGTAAAAACCCCTGATGAATACATAGCATATTGCTGTTTTACAGGTAAATGCATAACAATTTGCTGTTATAAATTATATTTCAACTATGACTCCTAACATTTTCATCTGGTTGTAATCTGTCCTTTCCTCTGCAGCGATCTAACTTTCCGACAGAGCAGTCATCAGAACCAATGCATGACTTATCTTGAGACAGATTTGCCTCTGTACTTATAAAGACACTGACTTCACATTAAGAAAAAGGGAAAGCTACACTGGAACTTGTATGCTTACAAAACACATCAAATGCCATCAGAAAACTCCAACTGTATCCAGTAATTTCATTACTGTATTCTCATCCATAATGACAAATTTTAGGATTCATTATTCTACATACAAACCTACTTTTAATCTTCCCTTTAGAGAGCATAAGGAGATCTTTTAAACTATTGCCCAGGTTATACGTTTTAACAAAAAACCCTAGAAGACCAGCAACCCGGATTTATCTTCTAGATCAACTGCTGTCCCTTGAATGGTCAGACTGCAGAGATCACTAACATTTTCCCTCAGGTGATGAGAAAAATATGGGGGAAGTCTTATATATTTCTGTGATTTTAAAGACACTGTCTGGGAAACAATCACAATTATATGAGTTTCTACTTCCTTAATCTTGCTACAAAAAGTAGTTGAGGTTTCTTCTTTTTGTTGTTCTTTTATGGAGAGAGATTATTACTTATTGTTGGACTGAACTGCTACAGATTTACAGATTAGAGTCAGCAAGTTTCCTTAGGACAGACAAAGAGTTACAAAGGCACCATAGCTATCAAAAATCTCTGACTAGTTAACATGGGAGAAAGTGTAAGTTACCAGACCAGCGTGGTTTGTAAAAATGCTGACGTGATATACCCTAGGAATATTAGAGATTTTTCTGTGCAGTCAGATGGTGACAGATGCACAAAGCCTAAGCATTGAGATTATCTGCTCTATGACATTTCATTTGGGAAAAACTAAGCCTTTAAGGAAGTCCTAAAGGCAATCCTCACACAGGCAAGACTCTGAGGAGAGGCAAAAAGATGTGTTGTATGAGTACTAAATGCAAGTAGAAGCTGCTTGAATTATCAGACACTGAATTTGGAGTGCCTGACATGACAATTCTCTTTATTATCCATTATTACAACCTGATTTCTTTTTTACTTAAGTTCTGATGCTACCATGCTTTTTTACTTAAGTTCTGATGAAATTCTGCTAATAAAATACAACACCAAATTTAAGTACAAAATATCTAACTACTTATGTTCAGAGGTGATAGAAGGGACTCTATAGGGACTCATCTTTCCAATACATAGAGAAATGTATTTCAGAATTATTAACCACAGAATTCTTCTGTTGAGTGGCTGCTATTTAAAATACTTTCTAGCTTCAGATTTCTTAGTACGATGAACTGATTTAACCACTTGAATCTTAAGAAAATGGCACATTAAAATAATCAATGATAAATTCATTAGCATAAAGTCAAGAGGAATTTCATTCCAACTGGATGATCTTCCCAGCCAACAATATGTATTTTGAACCATGGCTCTCTCTGCCAGGAGAAAGCAAACTGATAAATGGAGAGGGAGATTTAAAAGGAACCAGAGAAAGAAGAAAACCAAATATCAAGCTATTAATTTCTTCCCACTAAAAAATACATTAGTCTGAAGTAATTTCTTTTCAATATTTCTTCTGCAAGGAAATCAAAATCCTTAGAAAAATACTCTGTATGACAGTTAACTGTTTTGAAGTCCTACTTGACTGTGCCAATTGAGAAAGTTGTTTGAATTTCCAAGTCAGCAAGCATCACAGCATGCATTTCTTTATTTTGATGTGTCTGTAAGGCTAAAATTCTGAGTTAGTTAAATAGGCTTATTAAATCAACTCAGCCAACATCTGGGATAAGGTCATAGAGTTGCTCTCTCAGATCATGAAGATGCTTCATTTCTCCATGGGGAAGTAGTATGGACCAGTCCTCTAACACCCACTTGCCAGTTCTTCCTGGATTTCCTTTTCATTCTCAAATGAAATCTCAAATTTGAGATATCTACAAGTATCTGAAAACTGTGTGTGCCAGCACGATGATATAGAAATGGATACTCCTCTTCCTTCTTATGAGAGTAGGTGGATGCTGCAAATTAGTCAAAATCCTGACCTTTACGACAGGCATAATGAGCAGTCTGTTTTGTTTGGGGATACCCTGCCTACACTGTGCTCCTCTAGGCAGAAAACACAATATTCAACCTTTTTGGTTTTTCAAGTTTACTTAAGATTCTCCTGTACCCCTAAATTTCATTTGAGGGAAATGCATGGTTGGTGAAGTAGGGGAATCTAGCTGGGGAGGCTGGGGACTTCATAGTGTGCTGTGTATTGAGTACATCTGCTGGGGGTAGCTGGAATGCGTCTCTGAGAACCACAGGGAGTGTTCCACAGAGCTCTGCTTAAAGGCTGCCCTGCAGAGCTGCAGCTTCTAGGGTGGGCTGCTGAAAGAGCCTAACTTCTTCTGGATAGCTCCTGTTGGCTGCCCGGGGTCACTTAATAAAAAACCTTGAATAGTGTAACTGGCCAAGAGAAGGACTTTTTTCTGGAGAATTGCAAGTTACCTCCCACCATAACTGCAATTGTGAAATTCACCACAGAAAAAGTTAAAACACCACAGAACATATAGGCAATAGGAAACTACTGTAGAAAACTGGGAAAGAAACCTCTAAAGCTCAAATGGAACAGCTCAACAATATACACATGTATTAGACTAAATTAAAAACCAAAAGCTACAACTTGGTACTTTGAAGAAAGTTCTAAATATGCACTTCTCTATTCACATATGATGTACATGATTTAAAAAGTTTTGGTATTATATAACGCCACAGCTCAGTTCATCACAAAGAGATTAACAAGGTTATTGATTGTAATGCCACCTGCTTTTCATAAAGGAACATTTCAGTGCGTAAAAGTGAAAAAATTAAGGGGAAAAACCGCAACAATGAAAAAATACATTGCAATGTAAAAAAATAATTTCAGGGTAGTAAAGATCAAAATTCTGAAGATTACATGTGGCACACTGACACAGTGCAGACAATTTTATTAATAGTTTCTACTATAACAAACTAGAAAAAAATCTGGAGGTTGTAAACCAGACAATTAATGAAGCATCACACCACCACAATAATACATGACGCACCAAGGCGTTATATAATAGCAAAATCAATCTTAAATTATGGGGAGTGATGTTAAAAATATGTCTTGGGAATGGAATACATGTAGAGAGAGGGGCAATATTGTGTTTGTATGCATAATAAGGTCAATATTTCATTTTGAGTAATCTGTATGCAAAATTACAGACTTCAAGCACAGCTTACGCAGTTGTGGAAATTACTTTTTTTTATACATTTTTGAGATTATTTCAGCCAGACTGTTTCAGTGTCAGATTTATGACTCCTCAACCGTTATTTTTTCCAAAGCAGTAACTCCCACAAAATTGAAGTAATTATTCCAGCCTTCCAAAGATGTAATGATAATCTACTCAACCAGGTACCAAACATATTTGTCTTCTATTAACAAGATAAAATGAAAATGATAATGTAATAAAGGAAGCAGTTTACCAAGCAAAGTTCACACAAACAAAATTTCAGAGTGTTGCAATACATGTTTTGATAGCATGTGGTTGCATATTTGTGTAATACTCAAAAATATTTTTAACAGACACTTTATGTGTTGCATTCACGAGTGCTCCATTCCCCTTACCCTTAACTGGTACTGTGCTACACTTCCTACAGAACAAAAACAATGCAAGCATGGAAAAAATGAATAACCAGTTACAGTAACCCCTACATATTATATACACTCTCATTTCTTTGGTGCAAAGAGCAAGTGTTGGCCATCTTATTGAACAGTAAATATATTTATAACACTTTTCAGATTAGTTTACTGCAGCTTTTAAAAGCTGTTATCCATGCCTGGAGTAATGGCATAATCAGCGAGATTTGTTTTAATATCTCTCCCAAACTTTTTGGCCTCAAATGACAAATCTGAGCCTACAATATACAAGTATATTTATTTACTCATTAAAAACCGCTCTCAGTAGCTGGGGGTAGTTTAAGCAACACAGATACAGTTGCAGGGGAAGAATCACTTAAAAAGTCACATGAGAATGGATTTACTTTAACTGTGTTCCATACAATGGCCATCCAATTCAGCTACATGATGTCTTGCTAACAACTTTATAATTTAGTTTTCTGATTAGTCTTAGGCAAAGGTTCCAACTCACAGATGAGAGCTAGCGGCATTTTAAACAGCCTGAACATAACCCCAGGGTCAGACACAAAAGTCAAGCAGCCTATTTTACATATATAACTATATATGTTTATTTTGAGTGACAAAACCATGAAATGCAAGGCAACATATTCATAACTAATGCTTCAACAACATAGAATTAATAGCTGCTTATAAATTGTAAGCTGACATATACACTTTGCTCACATTATATTCTAAGAGACACCCACAAAGTTTGTTACACATTGCAGAGTAATGAGATAGGAGTTACAAATATACTTTATTAATGTTTTATCAAATGAATTTCCAATAGTCAGTAAAATAGTTTAAATGAAACTGTAGTTCAACCAAAGAAATCAAGGATGTCAGAAACAATGGGAAATGAGTAGGACAATAGTGGACTTTTACTTAATAAACTAGTAGTAGCTGTAAAATGAAATGCACAGATGAAATTTAGACTAAAAAATGACTTGCTCCTTAAGAGGATAAGTCGCACATGAAGTAGGGAACAGGAAAAAACTGACTATTCATCTGACCTGGTGTTTTAATAAATATAATGCAAACATATCTTCAAGATTGACTTATGCCAGACGTTTTCAACACATCAAACCCTGTTAAGATTTGTTCACTGTTACTTTATGTTACAGTGTAATAAAACAGCTTTTATAGATTCTCTCAGTATACCGTAGCTATATTTATATATTATATATAATATATATAAATCCTGTATCTATAACTGGGATTCATACTAAAATACTTTTAAACCATTCTAAAGATTTGCTATATAATTAAAAATGCCTTTGCCTCTGTAACAATAACATTTGCCCCAGTGCAGTAAAGGTGCTTGTCATGTCTTCAGAAATGCATCTCAAGGACCCGAGGCACTGCAATGGCCATTGGTAAAATGACTGGGACCAAATAACAACCCTTAAATTTCTGTGTACAGCTGAAGATGAAAAACTAAGACAAGTAGTAATATGTTCCCTTCCACATCCCTGCAGCCACTCCTTTTGGAACAAGAAACAGAGAGAAAGGCTGAAAAGAAGAAACAGTCATACAAGAAAATTGTACATCCAAGCTGCATACTGAAAACTTTAGCAACCACTGACAAGCAGTTCAGTTCAGGATAACCAGAGGCACTAGGCTACAGCCACAAGAACAAATTCAATTTCAAAGCATCTTTCCAATGCCTTCGGGTATTCAACACTGTGCACAGTGGAGCTCTTCACATGGTATAGAGAAGGTGCATATAAGCAAAGAAAATTTAACATACTTTAAGATACCATGCCAACCTCATAAAAACAAAAAGTAATTAGAGTACCCCTTAAAGTAACAGCTGAGATTTCCAAACTTAACAGGAAAACACAGGGAAAACAAGTTCTGTATTCACAACACTAGCATAAAATCTGAATTATGAAAACTATATGCAAAATACCTAAATTTATGAAGCATTATATAAGGAACCAGTTATTCTCTGCTGTTTTCAGGGTCATCTCCATCAAAGAAAATGGAATTTAATCAATAACATAGCAGTCAATATTAATTTAGTGACTAAGTGTTGGGTTTTTTTTTTTTTTTGCAGTTTTTCTGGTTGGGTGTTTTTGGTTGGTTGCTTTGCTTTTTAGGGATTTTTCAGCAACTGAAATTAAACAGTCTTATTTTAGGAGACGATCTAATTAGAAAACTCAAGAATCATAGAAAATCAACTTCTTTCAAAGAATATCTGTTATATTTAAATTTTTAAAGTGAATTTTAAATGATTATTGGTGATTTTGCATTAAGTTTGCAGCCAAAGTAGAAATCTAAGTTTAGACAAACAAACTATATTTAACCTGTTGGTTCACCAAACAGGTTCACTTATAGGAGAAAAATAATGGGAAAAAAACCAAAAACTGTTATCCTGCTGTTTTGAGGTTCTCTGCTGATACTGCAACTGAGGAGTACAATTCATGTCCATTTTGATAGAACTCTTTATGTTCACACAGCATACATAACCTGTACTGCCATGAACAGCACTGACTTGAAACTTGGCTCCCCTTATCACTGTGCTCATAGCCAAAACTGACCTTACAAAAGCTGCAAAACATGCATTTGGTTCAAGGTATTAGTACTGCAGTCAGTAGCTTTGAAATATCAGGTTCAAACTGAATGTAGAAAGAGGACACTGTATAGCTGGTGCCAACAGAATTAGAATTTAACAAGTGAGAATTCAAAAATACCCAGTTATAAGCCAACAGAATGGAAATCAAGTTAGAAGCCAAATGATCATCAGAAAGAATGAGAGACATGCCAAGACTGGCCAAGAGAGTCCCTTTTTCTATTTTAATCACCAGCTAGGTTTGTGTTGAAGAATGAAGCCATCAGCAATTTGCTGTTGCACTAAGTCACCCAGATGCAGTTAGAACCAGAGCAGGGCATGTGGTCAGTATGACCACAGCATGCAGCAAGAGGGAACACAGAATCATCTGGCAACACACTTTTCTTGTTTCTGTTCAATGTCAATATGCTGGAAGAAGCAACTACCTGAGACAATGATGGAAACATTTTGTTTAGGGGGGGCAGTAATGCCTACCCATCCTGGTGGAAATTTAGATTAAATTTTGAGATTAATTTTACCAGTTTTGCTGAGTTACTAATTCTATGAATCCCTAAAATTTCAAATTATATGTTACCCTAAAAGATACTAGAATAAGTTACTGCACAGTTCTCCTATATTTTGAGAACTGTTTGCCCTTTGTTTTTTTCATTTTTCTTCTTGCCACTAGAAAGGATCACTTTCTTGACCATCTCTAACTGATCTACTTTAGGCTTGACAAAGTGACCCATGCTTTCTTTCCTCTAGTCATTTATGTCACGAATTAACGTTCCTACTAAGGAAGCAGAACTGTGTAGAAGTAATTTCTCATTAACAATTACATCTGATCAACTATGTCAACCATAGATGAGTTTAAGATCACTAAAGAGCTTTTAAAACCTTTTTCATAATCCATTAGAAAATGGAGCACTGTGTTGGTCTAACACTTTGGAAAACTGACGTACTAAGTATGAATAATCAATGCAAGGCCACAAGTAAATATTATCAGCCAAGATAAAAGTGCCAAAATTCAGGCATCAAGTCCTCTGTGCAAACTATCATAGTGTCTATATCAACTTACACTATAAGAGAGTGATAAATCTCATTCAAAATTTGAAAGCCTATCCTAGCAAGAAAGTTCTCCACAGAATTAAGAGTTTATCATGGTCAATTTGTCATTTCAGATGGGACTTTTCCCTATTTTGTCTATTGTTGAGCAACATCAACACTTTAAGTAAAGTCCTTAGTGTGATAAACCATGTGAAATGCATCTGTGTACACACATTTGAAAAGAACAAAGCAATTTCTATTTCATTGTTAATATACGGAAAACAGTTTGAAATGCTACACTGTTTCTTCTTCCAAAGTGAACCAACCATAATCTGTAATTCTATAACCAGTTTTATATTTTTATTTACTGGAAGGTCTCTTGTCAGAATCTATGATGAAAATTATTCACATCCACTATGCTGATAATTTCTAACCTGTAAAAATCCAGGGAAAAGATAATGACAGGACCAGTTTACTGATCTGAAGAAGTTAAAACCAAAAACAATATTTGGTTCAGTGGGGAAGAACAAGATGTACTTCTTGTTTATTATATATACTGGTAAAGACTAAAGTACAAAGATGATGTGACATGTAATGAAGGGGGGGTTGGTGAGAGGAAATACAAAAAAAACCCCTCCCTCTCACAAGTTAGGCACAGAGACAACACAAACACTAATAACCTGGCATTTAAGCAAGAAATGGTTTTCAGCTCTTTTGAGAATGTTTTCTGCATTTCATGCACAACCAAAAAGACTCCAATTTTAACACCACACGTATCAATAGTGCCCTTGGAGAACAGAATGACTGGAATCTTAAGCCAAAAATACTAAATAGGAAAAGGAAAGACCTGCAATGCAATCTGCAGCTCACAGAGAAAATCAATTTAGAAGGAGGCTTAAAAAAAAAAGGAAACAAAGGCACGGTCCTCTGGTAGGTCTGATAACAATTTGAACAGAGGGTGACAGCGGTTAAGCAATTCCAGGTGTTTTCATGTGCACGTATATATCTGTAGTGCATCTGTGTCTATTTCATTCAGCTTCTACTTTCTTGCTGCTCTTCAGTAATCAAGTATTTGATTTGTAAGATGCTACATTAGTGCCAGCAGTCACAAAATGGTACGATAAATAACACTCTTCACAAAATATAAAAGCCACACTCTTAGTGAAGAAAGCATATCTTCAGCTAAGTGCAAATCAATATATCCCTTTAATGTTTTTTAAGTAACTGCTCAGCCACTTGAAAGAGTCCCAGCTGCCACAAAAAGTCACACAAACTCCAAGCCCTGCTCAGTTTAAATTTCTGCTCCATAGCTCACATCTTGAGTGCGAACAGGATATTTCTTGCTGGATAAGACCATAAGGAATTTCCTTTGTAGACCAAGTAAAAAGCCAAATCTGATAATTTTTCCATTTTAGCAATTAATCTGAAATCAGTTCTATTACAGAAGCATCAAGTCATGGGTTCTTGTTTTATCACACGCTTTATAAAGACAGGTTTGCTACAACAGCCTTGAAGGGGACTGGCAGTTAGATTCCCACTTGTCATGCTGTTGGGGAGAAACACTTTGGACGAACTGTGGTTCAACAGGACTGGGCTTTTGCAATTCATAGCTGGGTGTCCCTCAGGGACTAAAGCCACAGAGTTAGTGCCAGGTGGCACCACAGATTTTGTAGGGAATAAAATTTTGTTTTGTTCTAGAACAGCATGTTTTACAGATGAGGTGGATGCACCAGATACTGATTCTTTTATCACTTCATTTGGGATCTTGCTAGATCGATAACTGGGGGCATTATTTTCCATTATATCTGACCAGGCCCTGTAGCGAACCTCTGCAGATCCCCAGTAGTGCCTAATTGCAGACTCGGAGCGATGGCCTGTCACTGCCATTATTTCCCTAGGCCCCAGTCCTGCTTCACAGAGTAGCTGGATGGTGGTAGTTCGGAGAGAATGATTGGTGTACCGCTGAGAGAGTCTGGCTGCCACACTTATCCTGGGCATCATGGTACCCAGGTAGTTCACACCCATTGGCTCTCTTTTGTACCAAACAGGCTGTTCTTGCATTTGCTCTGACGTTAGCTTTAGAGGGTGCAGGTAAAATGCAGGGGGTTCTGGAGGCAACTTGGACAAATAAAGTTCCAAGGAAAATACAGGACAGTTTGGGTCCCCAGGCATATCATACATTTTACCCATTTTTTGAGGATCTTCTCCATTTTTGCCTTTGCCAGGATATCTAAACATAGCATATCGACGTCCGTTCTTGTCCTTCTCAACAACAAATGCATCCGGAGCCAGATCTCTTAGAATTTCCCTCCCTCGCTTGGCAAAATGCAACTGCAAATCAAACCACACCTTGTTGACGAGTGCCAGGGGACTGTGCAAACCCAGCACACCAGATTGCTTAATCTTACGCAAGTCCTCAGCAGCTATAGGAGGATGGTGGTGAGTCTCATCCTTTCCCTGCATGCGCAGCATCTTCAGCACGCTCATGAACACCATGTTCGCACTGGCAAACTCTTTGTCCTTCATTAAGCAAATCTGACGATTATAAGGTGGCATTTTGAGATGCCGGTTTAAGCCAGCACGCATTGACTTGTAGCTTGCCACACTGTAGGTATTTCCATCATGATTTCTTATTGTGTAATAAAACTCTCTTAGGATATCATTGAGTTCACTTACTGGGACCAATTCAAAGCTAGGATCCTTGCCATTTTTGGCCAGCCACTGTTTTAATAGGTTAGCTGCCCAGCCAGTCTGCTTGTGGGTGTTTTTGATGCTCTTAGCATCCTCTTCGTCTTCCTCCAAGCCAAAGAGGACATCCTCAGGGAAGTTAAAATTCGTCTGTGCTGCTTCTACTCCTTCTTTATTTTCTGATGGAGTCTCTTCCTGTTTCAACTGCTTTTCGAAACAATTGATCAAAGTTGTACCATCAAATATGCCACAAGTATACGGCACACAGCGAACTACTTTATGATCTGAGAGCTGTGAAGTGTGGAGTAATACATAACATTTTGGATTTTACCTAACAAAAAGCAGGTGGCATTAACTGGATTTTTCAAATGAATGGCATGTCATTTCCATACCTCACTAGCCAATTAAAATGCATCACGTCCTTCTTTTTTAACCATGGCATTACACATGCTTTAACTGATTTCACGGAAACCAAACCTAGAACATACACTACACAACAGAAGACAGAAAACCAGAAAACATCCTATGTCTTTTATCTCCCTCCTCCTAGCTCATCTTTCACTGCTAAATACCATTTTCATGCACAATCTGTTTTCCCAATTTTTTTACAGGTTTCAGGCTCTAACTGAAGAAAAATTCCAAAATATGCATCTTATACTGAAAATTAAACCTTAAAACTGTACTACTGTCATCCATTATGGTACTGGATTTCCTACATACTGACAAGGGGTTTTAACAGCTATAATCCACAGGTATCTTTGAAAAATGAAGTTCAAAACAACCTTTCTTTATCTTAATGGAAAGACAGAGTGAGGCATAGTTTATACTCTAAAATAGTGGCTAACTTTGCAAGATTACTTTCAGCAAGTGAAAACCAGAATATTGTCCAGTATATTTTCTTCTTGCTTTGAAATACAATTTAGATTAAGTGTACCTTGAGACACTAAAGAATTTGGAAGTGTTGTCTAGAAGAAATTTATTTTATTCCTTTTAATAACATGAGTTCTGGTTACTAGCATGAGTTAAGCATGAGGCGCTTTGTGAAATATCTATAGACAGAACGTAAATTATTTATGAATAATTTTAAATAGCTTTGTTTTAAACTTTAAATTTCAAAGCAAGTTCAACAAATTTTAGACAAGGAATCCAGAGGTATTGCAAGTTATCCTTTATCATGATGTAGCTATTCCTGAAGAAGGTTTCTTTTCCTTTTTTCTTTTCCCATGATATATGGGAATCAAACATTAGAATTAAAATTTTAATTTCTGGATTAATGTAGGAATGAGAGTACTGCAATCATTTATAATATATTTGTAGCTATATAAAGCCATTCAGACAAAGATTGGGAAGTCTTTTCTTTGTATGCTAGCTCTGTTTTAGCAGAAAACTTTTAGTCTGCTCAAGATTTACCAACTCGTCTACCTACAAAAATCCCATCAGAAGACTTCTGAAAAAATTATCAGAAGCTCACGCAGCAAGTAACAGTGAATCAGAAGAAGAATAATATAAACTTGAGAGAAATTAGAAAGGATGGCACAAAAGAACTAAAATTGTTTAATTATAATCAATAATCTCCTGTGGATTGTAACTTTAGAATTTTATACAGAAAATCAACAGCCTACCTGTGTTGTTCCCTCAGCAGGTCGCTTGTTTGCCGAAGTATCTGTTGGTGGCCTGCTTGTCTGGTTTTCTAAGGGGTCAAGAAATTGTTCATTTGCAGTATCTAATCAGTACTAATTTGAAGGCAATATTCAAATCTGTTTGACACTAAACATTCAGTATGTGACATATTTTATATCTAGCTCCAGTTTTCAATTATAAGTATTCAAGTTTGATTAATGCATTCCTTTCTTTGTAAGTTTGACAGTATAATCAAAGCAGTTTATGAGCACTTCCTTGCCTGAGCACAAAGTATAACTCCAACCTCTCCTCCCTCTCTATGCATATTAATAAACTATTCGACTAAAAAATAACAAAATTATTAAATATTTCCATACAAAAAAAGACCTGACTGAAAAAAGGATGCTTAAACAGACTGCAAAATATTTAACCGAGGCAGGGAGACTGCGTACCTTTAGTAGCTCAGCCAAACATTAAACTAGGAATTTAAGAAACTGCTTTAATATTTGATGTAAATATATAAATTCAAATTCTGTACTCATTCCTTTTAATTTTAATGAGAGCTTATCAGCAAACACTGCTCGCCCAAATCAGTGTTCAATTCCAGTGAGAAATTACTAGGGTACAAAGCAAAACTATGGAAACAGCATAAAATGAGACATTCTGTGGACACATAGGTCCTTCCTTTTGTCACTGTATCTCATCAGTCACAACCCTTTTTATGTTGTCTTACATCACTTCTATTTGCTTTAGAGCTGAGAGTCACTATAAAATACAAATGTCTAACTCTATAGAGCATGTATTTTAGCAGAGGTAACTTAGATACAGGAAAATGAAATGAAACTAGTTCTGATGTCAAGTTCTGCTTGAGTTCCTTCTAACAATATACTGTGCCAATGAGGCATTTGCTATAACTTCAACATGTACAAATCTGGAAGACCTCTTATAAAAAAAATTCAAGGTATGTAAAATCTGAAGTGCAGACAACCGTCAGGGCAGGACCAAAGACTGAGAAAAATTGTTTTAAAATAATTAATCTACTTATTGTTACTTGAACACTTACTGTATTTAGAGACTTTATTTAAATATTTTAAGTGTACTCCTTTGGAACTAGGTTCATATTCAGTTGTTTTTTTCTACCATTTTGTTTACTTTTAACTGTTGTGAAAATTAAGTTAAAATTATACTTTCCTTTCAGTATGCCTTTGCTTAGAAAGTAGTTCATATTATTCTGAGAGGCTGTGTTAAAATTAAATACTAAGTTCTTAATGACACGAGTTTCTGACTTCATGCTAGGAATTATATAAATCAATTTCTAAACAAAACAAAGCTTACAGAGCCACACTGCTGACTCCAAGGGGAGTTTACTTTCAACAATGTCTGAGACAGATCTGTTGTAGAGATTATTTTTATATTGAAAATTTCAACAGAAACGCAACCTAGAAGAACCATCTCTGTAAAACGTTAAGAAACAATTTTCTAGAGAGTGCGGTTTTATGTTTCCCTGTGACCACTATCTCCCTCTGACAGTGTCAACATTCAAGCATAACTTACCGATCTTGGATGCTGTAATGGTGGGTGGCTCAGTAGGAGCTGTACTACTAAATGCAGGGAGAGGAATCTTCATCTGTAGGGGCGCTCGACTGGCAGTCGCATTATAAAGTCCGGGAGTACCCACTGTAGGCAGAGAAGTCCTTGTGGTCTGGGCAACAGGATGTGTAGTAGGAACAGCCTGTACTGCCAACGTTGTGCCTATTGACCCAGCACTGGCTGTAGAGTTCCTTAGAATACCAGGACTGGGCACGTGTGGGATATTATTTGGTTTAGTTGTGTTAGTTGATGCCAAAGACACTGTAGTTTTGGTAAGGCTACCAACTGTAGATGAGTTTTGTACAGATATAAATTCCACATTGCCTGACGGCTGGTTAGAGACCAAAGTCCCTGTATGGCCTTGCAGAAGCTGAGTCTGGGATGACACTGCCACAGGTACATGCAGGATTACAGGCAAAGACTGCAATGAGACAGACACTGACGGAGCGCTGCCAGTGGGCACTTGGTTAGTGCCTACAACCGTAGCCGTGTTAGCTGTGGGAAGTACTGCTGTTGTCAAAGAGCTGGTGGAGGACACTGGAGTCTGAAGCTTAGGATGTCCACTGACAACTGCTGGAGAAGCAGCAAGACTGGAAGCAGGCACTACACACAAAAAAAAAAAAATAAAAATTAAGCACTTGAATCAAGTGGGAAGTTTTACTGCAACACAACAAATGGAAACTATTCATGATGAGGGCAGTGAGTCACTGGAACTGGTTGTCCATAATGACTGTGGATGCCCTATCATTTTAAGTGTTCAGTGTCAGGCTGGACAGGGCTTTGAGCAACTTGATCTTGTGAAAGATGGCCCGGCCCATGGTGGCAGGGTTGGACTAGATGATCTTTAAAGGTCCCTTCCAACCCAAATACTTCTATGAAAGAAGTAGTGCATAATTACTTCTTTTTTGCAAATAAAGGCTATAGGTACTGTTTTTCTGTTGTACACGCTCATGTTCAATGGCCTGGTTAAAGATGCAATCAATACTGCATTTCTGCTTGTAAGAAATGTCAGTAAAAAGATATATAGAGAATTATGACACAGGCTTGAAGAAAGCTCCAGGATTTAACTGCTGAAAACATAAAATACAGCATTTTAACAACCCGTTATAGAAATGGCAGAGCAACTGATGCTTCACAAAACACAAGAAAAGAAAAACTATGCCAGTTATGACTAACTTGCCTTGTATAGGTAAGACCTTGTACCCAGAAGGTTCTACCAAAACCAAGTATTAATGTGTCGGAGAAGATACTAATTTTTATGCAACAGAATTTCAGGATTCATTCTAAAGGTCAGGAGCAAAATTCACTACTGAAAGCCAGTACATGTAAACTATAAGATAATCCTGTGGGAAAGATTCAGCATTTAATATTAAACTATTTTTACAACCAAGGACAGTGAGACTATAGTGAATAAATTAATGGTGAGTTTGAGTTTATATTCCCTATAAAATTTTAATCTAGAAATTCTATTTTTCAACATGACTTCTTTAAGAAATGTGGTTTATTGAAGAAATTGCTGTTTCCCACTCAATGTCCATATTCATTAGGTAGAGAGTATCATCAGCATCCTATTATGATCAAGTACAACAAGGGCCCTGAGATGTGTTTCAGTTCTTGGCAGCCAGTTTTACTGCCATACAGCCTCTACTGAAGCATCTAATTTACCACAAATTCTGCTTTGCCAAATCAACACATTTTTTCCCATACCTGGTAAGCATACTACACAAATATAAACTAAGAATGCACTAGAGAAATAAAAATAATTATTTTTTTAGGTTAGAAAAAAGGAGTAAAATCAGTTTTGCTCTGTTTGGCTAGTTACTTCTTTAATGGTTAGCAACAAAATTTTAAAGAAATGTATTTGTAGTCCCTAGGGAGTTTCTCACCTGGATTCACAGGGGCTTGAAAAGTTGCTGGTGTGCTCTCTCCTACATTCCTCTTTGACTCCAGCATTTGCCTTACTGTGCCAGCATTTCTAAGGAACAAAGTTTAATTGGCATTTATCTCAAAAAGCCATATAAAGTGTATTTATGAACAGTACAATGGTGAAAAAAATCCCTAATTTTACAGCTGTTATTTTCTTTGAGATTTTTTTCCCAAAACCCACTTTTTGCTTCTCAGGCAAATTAACTTGGGATATTTCCCAAAGAAAAAGTAGTATAGAATTATTTATAAATTTTCAAGTTTGTCTTGCACCATGAGAATTTTCCTGTTCTTGAAATTAAACTTCCACTATTGTATATGATTTTAAACACTGAAATTAATGCTAAATAGATTTAACCAAGAATGGGTTCAATTTGGTCAATTTATGACTTCTGTAAAAGCAAATTAAATTTTTCAAGTGAAGAGCAATGAAGGAAAAGGAAAAACACTTTAATTAAAAAAAAGGAAATACAGAGATTATCTGAAGTGTCCTATTGTACATTTAACACTGTCCCAGTGATGTGCTTTGCTTACCGATATGTGGCATTGTTTCCATTTGCAGTGTCGGGTGCTGCTTTCCCTGGAGATACAGGTGCATTTGCCACATTCTACACAGAATGAGAGAGAGAGGCAATAACAAAACAACTCTAAGTCATCTTGCAAACTTATGCTTTCATTCTATTTCATATCCATTCACTGTTGTGTGAAAGATTCATTTCCTGAAGTCAACATTGCAGGAGAATTTGACATATTTTACAACTACACAAAATCTCCTTGGTCCCACTCCCTCCCTCTCCTATATCCTCTCTTTTCTCTTTGTCCTCTCATCCCTCAGAATCAAGGTAGTGGGATGCACTTTTATTTACCCTGTACTCTTCATACTGAAGTAAATTAGACTTAGTTATATACAGTTTAAGGTATTTTCACACTAAACATGGTTAAAGAAGCTTCTGTACAATTCAGAATTACATAATAAATGCTAAGACTTGTTTAACGATACCAGACAAACCCGATTTGTCAATGCTATTGAATAAACAAGTCACATCTTTCTAAATATAAATTTTCTTTATTTTCCAACATAAGGTTTAGGCTAACTCAGAAAAAAAACCCCAGACCCGAACAAATCTAGCTCTTACTTCCTGTCTCTTCTTCAAGTCCTCCTTAGCTGCTCCAACCCGCTTTGTCAATCTTGCAATTTTAGCCTAAACAGGAAGAAGATGAAAACAAACAAAACCATAAATCCCCAAGAACTACCAAAGAAATCTTATAAACTAAAATATATATAATTTTGACTATCAAGTCCAAGGCTATTTTCATATCAGGGAAATTATTCTTCCTTGAAATACAGTACAACTATGTTACTTTCAACATTATTATAGCAGAAGGACAAACGTATGCATCACAGTCAAGGTATCTTAGAGACAAGTTTTAATTATTTTCCTTCCTATTCACAAATGCAGAAACTGAATCCATCTGGCATGTTCACACAAAACTACATAAATGGAAGTCTTACATTATGTTATTGATTTGACACTCTAGTTGATGGCTAAAGACACTGGTAAACAAGTATACTGAAAGCATCTTAAAAAGCACTTAAAAGGTCAACATAAAATGTCTGTGGCAACAAGAGGAAAGAGTTGTACAGTGGGAAATGATCTGGCAAACTCCGTATTTCTTTTAATGAAAAAAGTAAGATCGCCTTATTGTTCAAATTTGTTATGAGATAAGCTTTTAATTGTCTTGTCAGTTCAAAATTCTTTTTTCTGACGTTCTTCATGTCACCGCTAAGTACATATTTCCTATAAAAAATGCAGGAAAGCATACTCCATTCAACACTAGCTATTTGCTTCCTTGCTAGAACATCAACTATTTACACTCTGGGGAAACATGTGATGTAGGATGTTTGAAGTCCAGTGCTACTGTCCTCTCCTTTCTGTGTGCTCCCATTTTAAGCAAATTTCCAGCTTCCTAAAGACCTTAGATATTTTCATACTTGCATTAAAAAAAAAGGTCTAAATGGAACAGAAGAGTGGAAAAGCAGTCTACTAACAGATAATGAATCAGTTTGCCAAATGAAAAATACACTTTGGGGTTTCTGTATGATTAATTGGTTGCTTCCCTCATTCTGAGTAGGAAAATAGTTTTTCAACTCAAAAGTAACATTAGTATTTGCTGCTCCCCCCCGCCCACCTCCTCCTCTTGCAGAGTCAAAATGGTTTCCTTACTGGCAACTGTAGGAACCCTATGACTTAACATTGAGGAAGTTATTTTTCAATTTGACCCTAGTATGGAGCTGAACACACAAACACTCACCTGCATTTCAGTAAGCACAGTTTTATGCCTCTTGTTGCATTCTACTTTCTCCATTCGGGTTTTCAAGTCTGCCAGAGTCTTATCAAATACTGCACACTGTAAAGCGGTAAGTTTTTCTTCTAAAAGTCTCTGGATAATCTGCAAAATTGTTATATTAAAATAACAATGTAATCCCAAAATTTGGGGACAACTGTTTTGCCTTATCAATCAAATGAATCTACAGTCATCGATAAGCATGTGGTTGCACAGCTAAATTTTGATATAATTTTGGAAAATATAAATGGTTTGCCATTAATTCATCCAATTAATTTCCTTGCAGTATAATAAGGGTATAAAATCTTACTGTATATAAAATGAACCTTAGCAACAGAAGGTATTCTTTTAAAGTGCAGTGCTTAAACAAGTTAATTGTTCTTCTTTTCTATTTTTGAGAGGGATGTTGGCATTCAAAGAACAGAAACTTAAGACATTCAAAAAAACCTTTTCTTTGATATATTTTCTCCTAGCAAAAATTCAGTGTTGCCTTTTTTTGCAGAACCTAAAAATGTAAGAAGACTGGTTTTCACAAAGTTTACTTGATAGAAGTTGTTTAATGTTTCTCTCCCTTCTATACTTATTGCAGTGTAAAAAGTTTTCATAGGAAATGAAAATAAATAAGCCACTAATGTGGTTCATATTTTGCCATCCTAATCCTAAATTAATGAAGTTAAAACACATGCTAGCTAACAAACTAACAGAAGAACAGCACAATTTTCTTTTCTTCAAGACCATAGGTTTCTTATACAGCAATGGTGCAATTAGGCTATTGACAGCTCTACAAAAATCTGCAAAATGCCAGGTGGATTATAAACTTCTTTGGAGACTGCCTTTTTTTTAAAGCTAAGCAAAAAATAAAGTGCATCACATATAAATCATCATGGTGAATTACATCCTTTACTATCATTTTCAGTCTAGAGTCACATGAGACTTCAAGTATTTTATACATTTCAAATGTAACTCCTGTAACGTAGTTTTCAAATGGTATTTGGTCTCTTCTTAAAAGAAGGGCTATGTAAAACTTTATATGAATTAAGCACCTTTGTTATTTGTATTACATCCAATGTTCAACCACAAAAAAGAGAAAATGTTTGGGGACACAGAGTGTGTGCAGAAGGACTGCTAATTCAAAGATGGTAACACAAGTTACATAGCTGCAGCTATGTTTTACCTTTTGTAATTTTAGGTCAACATCCTTTCTGGCTGTAATTTTGACTTGGACTTCTGCTTCATAATCTTCTCCCATGTACCGACGATGTTTAGAATGAACATTGTCCATGTCCTCAGATTTGGAACGCTTTCTCTTTGTTGCTTCACCTGGAACAATTAGATACAACTGCTCATGGGAAATCCCTGAACAAACAGGTATCTTCAGAATGCCATGATTACTATGAAGTTGTTCTCAGTTTAAGCTTTTTCATGCTAAACCAGCAGGAATGCCTTTGGAAAAATATGCTTGATGACATCAAAGTACAAAAACAGTCCTTCTGGTATCTGTACATTACTGCCCTGTCAGTGAGTTCTGCTTTGTGATTCACCCAGTCGCTGCCCCAAATGCAAAATGGTTCTAGTACCACCACTCCTCTCTCCAGAACCTCCCTCTAGTTCCTCCTGCTCCTATCAGCACCATCCTGTAATGAAATATGGCTTCCGAGAAGCAAAATAAAACTTTTTACCGAAAAGGAAAGCTCTTCTCAGAATTCCAGCCAAATAAAACTACATCTCATTTAACTATGCCAGCAATTAACTGTATTTATCTGCCATGAAGATTTAACTTGTACCTCAAACACCTGACTGAAAAACCATTCAAAATTTTTAAGATGGAAAGTAAAAATCTAACAAAAGGCTCAAAACAGAACTTGATTATAAAGGTCATTTTCATCACAAATGATGAAGCACAAAAGAACCAAAGAGACCTCATTCACTCCTCCAGCTCCTGGCACTGTGTCCAGGATGTTCTCAAAGACAAGAGGGACATCTGCTTTTAAATAATCCTCAGATTATATACAATGACCCAAGGAACTACAGGATTAGCAGTTTTACCTCAATCCCTGGGAACAAGATGGAACAAGTAAATCTAGAGAGAATTCATCCCAACGCCTATCAAGAAGGCGGTGATGGGGAACAGAATGGATTTATCAAGGGGAAATCACTCATCATCAGCCTGATAGCCTTCTACAGTGAGAACACTGGCTTGGTGAATGAGAGGAGAACTTCTTTAATAATGCTTCTGACACCCTAACCATCCTCAAATTCTTGATGTATGGCCTAGATAATTGTACTGGGTCAACTGTTGGCCTCCAGCAGCCATGACTATTGGCACACAGTCTAGCTGGAGCTCACTAATGCACACCAGCAGATGCTACTCGCACCAACACCACCATCTTCATTCATGACCTAGCTAATGGGGTAAGAAGATATCTGCAGCAACGTGCAGGTGATACAAAACTGGAAGGAGTGATTTGTACACTCCTAAGTGGTTATGCTGCCATTCGGAGTCACACTGACAAACTGGAGAAATAGGCAATCAAGAACCTCATGAAGTTTAAGGAAAGGAGATGCCCAAGTGCTACACTTGGAGAGCAATAAAACCATGCATTCATTAGTACAGACTGGGAATTCACTGGCTGAAAAACACCTTTTCAGAAAAGGCCCTGGTGGTCTCCATGTACATGAACATGGGCCAGCAATGTGCCCTGTTGGCAAAGAAGGCCAACAACATTCTTGTCTGCCTGAGAATGAGTACTGACAGCAGGCTGAGGGAGGTACTTGTTGCCCTCTAACCAGGGAATGTGAGTCTGAACCTTGAGTCTTTTGTCTTCTGGGTTTCTAAATCCAAAAAAATATGTGAGCATACTGGAGAGCGTGCAGTATGTAAGAGTGCAGGGTCACCAAGACATTTTAGAGATAGGTGCATTCAGCAAGAGCTGGAATTGTTCAGTTGGAGAAGGCCATTGGGGGAGATTTTATCATGTGTGTGAATTACCGGACAGGTGGAGAATGAACAGAGCAAGACTCTGAGTACCAGTGATAGGACAAGAGAAATGGATGTAAATTGAAATACAGGAATTTGCACTCAAACATTTAAAAACCTTTTTACTGTGAGGGTGATCAAACACTTGGATCAAAACACGGAAATCTGTGGAATCTTCACCTGTGGAAGTACTCAAAACCTGTCAGGACACAGTTATGGGCAAACTGCTTTCTAGTTGACCTGGTTTTTAACTGGGGCAATGGACTAGATAATCAAATTCCAAACCTAATGATTCTGTGCTTCTAAAACATACAACACAATGAAACACAACGGTTTTAACATTACATACTTTTTTCTATTTGTTTCTCTTCTTCTTTGTGGGCTTTTTCTCCTTCTTTATCTTCACACTCCTTTTTTCTCTCCCCCTCCACCTCTTCTAGAAACAGAAGAAAAAAATCCATGTGTCACTTTCTCAGATCTACAAAAGTCTTGTAACAGTCCTACTTTGACTAATGAATTAAGAAAACACATGAAAAAAACATGTGAGGAAAGGCAAGAGAAATAAGTATGACAAAGAGGGAATGCAGATATGAAAAAAAATAAGGGAATACCCTCAAAACAAAAATTTTAACTATCATGCAACATATTAAGACTCACTTTTGAATTTACTTAACATTTTAACCAGAATTACTGAACTGTTATTATGAGGGAAATATGTTTCAGTTACCTCTGAAACAAAATGATGTTATTTCTAATGCAGCTGAAGTTCCAACAAATTATTTTAGCTTACTTTTCCATTTAGGGACAAAGCATAAAAATTTCAGTAGCAAAAAACGAAAGTACTAGTGTTTCTCTATTTACAATTGGCAATTTCAACCATAATCTTAATGTTAGGGAAGGCCTAGACTCAGATTAACAAATATAAATTTTAATTTCAAGTTTCTTGCTAATACAAAGTATCATAATTTAGGACTAACTTTTAAAAAATATTCAGTTTAGGAAATGCTTAAAAGAAGAACAATCTGAAGCCACCAAACACACAAAGATAAAAATGGTAGCACTTCCTGAAAATTTTTATTATATGCTCCATGATGCATTTCATACATATGTGAATGAAACAAGCTTTCATTATGTGTTTCTCTGCTTGCTAGCTACAACACATAACTATTGCTTTTAAGATTAGAGTAAAATCTATCCAGAATATCAAGAGAGCAAGTAAGCAGTTATGCACATCTTGATCTGTGCACTTCTTCGTTTTCCTATATTCATTTTGTTATTACAGCAGAGTTTTCTAATGCAAGTTCAGGTATGCTTGATGCTCTCTTAACATTAAGTCTCCCTCCTACTACAAAGAATATTTAAATTATTTAAAACAAGTTACCTAATGAATCAGAAAAAGTAGTCAAAACCCAATAACCTGGCATTATGGTATTTTAATTTTTCTTATTAATGTAAAAATAATATTCATAATACAAAGTCTTGAATCCAAATCTGATTTACTTTTCAATTAGCTTTTCAAGACTTACAGGTAAGCTTCATGCATTTAATTGCTATGAATAAAATAGGACTCATTTACCTAGGAATCTAAAGGAGAATTGCTAAGTTCAAGACAACTTTTCCCATAATTCAGAGATATTAATATTCAGCTGAAAGACACAAATATTCCATGGAAAGACACATACCGAGAATGTCTTTAAAACAAGCTTCAAAGCTAAGTTTTTTTTCAGTTCTATATAGAGGACAAGTAATTTCAGGGATGAGAAGGTCCTTTCCTTACTGACTTTCATTACCATGAACAAATCCAACTCATTTAACTAAAAGTGGTTTAAACATGATAAACTCTAGGTAAGGAGAAGAAAATTTCACAAGTGGCTATCAGCTTAGTTTCCAATGCTAAGATGCAATCTCTTTATCCTGGTGCTAGACAAGCAGAAGCAATGAATGCAACCTTGTTGGCCTCCTATGAACTTAGTGTATCACAGTAAAGTTTTCCTGTTTCCTAATTTATTCCAATATTTTTTCATTTGATTTCTTTAACTGCCATTTTATCAATGTTTCCTCAAAATCACCTAGTATAATCCTGAAATATTTTTATTGAGTGGTCAGTTCTACTTTCTCATCAAGTTATGAGTTTTGTACTTATGTGCACCACTTTGTAGATAACCACTATGAATCTCACCTGCCACGTTTCTTTCTCAGTCAATCAGCATTGTAAATTTCTTCTCCAGTTCTTCATATTGGCAAACTATGACATCACTAGGTACCATTAATTTTAGGCAAATTATTAATTCTATCACACAGCACAGTCTCTGGAACTCTAAATTTATTTTTTATTCTTCAGCTGATCACTTCCTCCATGAGGACTTTCCATTTTACTCTCTCATTTACAAAATTTCTTGGTAGAAATCACTTGTGTTTGGATATCCAAGAGAATTCACATCAGGGCTTCCTTGTCACATGCTTGTTTGCTTACACAAAAAGCTCCAAGGCTTTCTGATGTATGATCCCTTATTACAAAAATCTGTGACAGCATAGCTATTATAGTTACTAATTCCACTTGGGAGAGACATTCTATTAATCTGTCCATTTGAATAAAGTCTTCTAGTAGCATTTTTTTTTCACTGTTTAGCCATGTTGGTTTCTATCTGGACTTGTTGAAATCTCACTTCTTAACTGAGCAGTTTGCACCTGTTTCTCCAATATAGCATCTTGAAATTACCTCCATATGGTCTCCACAGTTTTAATTTTCACAGACTCTTTCCAAAAGTTATGTTTTATAAGGTAACTCTATCTGTTTTCTCGTACAACTGTTTCCTGCCTATGCAACCTCTCTAGTATTATCTTTGTTGCTGGTCAAGGCAGAACATAATTTCTTTCATTTCATGAACAGTCTCAGTTACAGCCACACAACTCTTAAGAGTCGAATTGTTATTAGCAAATAATAAAACAACTAGTCAAAAGAATTTGTCTTGTCACCAAAATTTAGAATCTTAAAAACCTATTGCTGGATACATTAATTTTAAACTTCTGCAAATGGTAGTCCAGTATTTAATATTCACTTCAGTCTTTTTGCTCCATAGCAAATTCCTCTGTGACCCTAGAGTGTTTTCTCACTGAATAAGATGAAAAAAGTAAACTTAATGGCTTTAATGAGAGAACTCTTAAACTGCAGTGAAAACAAAGATAACCTATTTATTGGTACTGTTTATTTCATGAGAGGGACTCATAACACTACAGTTTTGACACAACTACACACAGCCTTCTTTCCCCCTGCTTCACCCAGCTCCAATAGTTTCTGGAAGACTTTATTTGCACAACAATAGTATCACTTTCTCAATGTCACTGACAACAGCTAATGCCTAAATAAGATGCTTAGCAGAAACTATGGAACCTACCTCATCTCCATTTAACTAGCATTATTTAAAGGTAAATACTAGAAAAGGAGGAGCCTAAATCAGGGCTGGTTCTTAGCTCTGTTTCTCTATCTGTTTTAAGAGACTGAAGACTCAGAATGCCACAGTCTGATCATTAGTAAAACAAGATTCGAGAAACTGTGGTCACTAACATCCCAGAAACTAAAACCTGAATCTTAATTAAGCTATGAAATTTCTACCCAGTCAGGCATATTTAAACACACTTGGGTTAATATGGTCATAATTTAATAAAAGCTATATGGGGTGAGGGGGAAGAAAGAGGGGAGGGAAAAAGCCCAACAAAATAATTCCAACCCCAAGATAACCTGAAACATCTTTCTTAATTACAGATTAAAGAACATTATCGACTTATCTGTAAATTATTAATTTGTTTTATTTTCAAAAGTGCGATAGTATAAAAATGACTGCCCATTGTCCAAAAGAAAATAAGCTTACAAAACTGTATTAAACAGTACACTACAAAGTACATCTACTGAGTTTAACTTAGAAAAATATTCTGCTAACTACATGAAGAGATTCCACACTTAATATTTAAAAGCATTAATGAGCTGCCACAGTCAAAGAAAACCTAGATAAAAACCACTGAGTTAAATGAATAAAAGCTATATGATATAAAAATAAGACATGACACGCATTTTTCATTAAACTTTTTCAATACTGTCTTTCAGTGGGAAAAAAAAAAAAGTTAAAGAAGATGAGGCACACCTGGATTATATGCATGTTTTCCTTATCATTTATTTGCATGCTAAAGAAAACCGAAATACTTTCTTCCCTGTGAAAGCAATAAATGAATGCAGTTCCTCTTCTCCCAAATCCTTCTGTTCCCTGACAATTACTCATCTTTCCTCTTTTTCCACCTACTACCTCACCCAAGTTGGCAGCCAAATTTAGAGTATGAAAAAAAATTCAAAGCAAACCAACAAGAAAACAACAAAAACCCTAAAACCAAAATCCAAAACAAATAAACAAAAATAAAAGCAACCCAAATCTGGAAGATGACCATGTTTTGGTGCAAAGTTTTTTTCCTGTGCCTTAAATACCACCCTTGAAAACTAAGACTATGTAACATTACTGGTGGGTAAGATTGCCCCATTGATTTACAAAACCTGACACAAGTGTGTCATTCTAAGAAATGAACATCCCAAACTTAAATGCAAGCTAACAATTTAGAAAATTCTTACCTGGAAGACTTGACTTGTTTAGCAGTATCCCTTCGACAAGTTCCTCCTTCTCATCACAGGGCTCGTCTTCATCAGACAGTACTAAGAAAGCCTCTTTTGGCAGACTTTCATTGCTTTCCTGTTTGGATGGCGAACCCAAGCAATTGTCTATTTTTTCTTCTAAATCTGGGACTGTGTCATCCACTGGAAGCAGAGAACTTTTAGAAAAACAGCTCAGATCATCTTCAGCAGGAGCTAGTTTTTCCAGAATTGGAATAATGTCATCTGTTTCCATACAGTCCGTATTGTCCAAGATACTGTCATTTGGCTCATCTATTGTCTTCGAAACAGTGGTTTCTGAAAGTCCTGCACTGCCTTCTTGTTTTTCCTGGTCAGCTTCCATACTGCTAGAGATGGCTGCTTCCCCAACAACCTCTTCAACAGTTACTTCTTCAGTCCTCTTTTCCTCACCAGATGAACTGGAATTCACAGGTAAATAATTTGTTTCTCCCTTCTCTTCAGAAGAGTCACTAATATCACAGACTGATTTACTTTCACCTTCCAATGGGATATCATTCTTTCTTTGTTCCAAATGATCTTTTCTATTAATTTCTTCATGGAAGTTATCTTTACTGCTACCAACTCCATTTTCAGCCTCACATTTTACTGTGATGTCAGTATCTTTAGCTTGCTCAGGAGTAACATTTTCTGAAGAAAGCATTAGAGGTTTGGATTCTATGTCATTGACTATGCTTCCTGCCTTACTTTCAGGGCATTTGGTTTCACTAATTTCATCACAAGCTGTTTGGCCTTCTTCAGAGTTAACACACAAGTCAACCACTCCATTAATTTCTTTCTTGACTTCTGTACAATCTGTATTGCTTAAAAGGGAATTTATGTCAGAATCTCCATTCTCATGCTTTCCATTTAACAGTTTCACTTCAGTTGTCTTCAACAGCTCCTCTTTAACCTTATAGACAGCTTCAAGTTGTTGCCGATCACTTACTCTCATTGTTTTTCGTGCTTTAAAGACTTTTTTCTGAGGCTCCTCTGTGCTATCCATCTTAGCCCTTAAAAAAATTCAGAAAGAACTGTGAAGATAAAAATTTATCATTGTCATATTACACTGCTACTAAGAAAGATTGCAATGTTTAGCACATTTTAAAGTAAACCAGTTGAAATGGTACTGACAAAGAAACACCTGTCAATACTTAAATTTTATATGACTTCCCAAAAAGTGAATCCAAGTTTCTCTATATGCTGCACAAACACATTTATGCAACGGTCACACTACGACATCATGCAGTAATAGTCTAACTACACATTTTAGACCTTGTCTCATAGTATTCTATTAAAAATAGGTATTATACTAGGGTAAGAGTCAGAAGCCCCTCTTCTCATAAAAAGTTAAAAATAAATGTAAACGAATGGATCAAGAATATTTTAATCCTTAAAATATTTCATTTCATAAGTTACAAACAGAATAACTGGGGCAAATGACAAGATTCTTATATCAAGTCACTTTTAAGAAAACTTCATTATATACGAGGAATGTCTCAATGCATCATTAAGATATTTTTTTCTGCATAAATACAATAGACTTTTATCCTCTACATCTATACAATGGTTAAATGAACTTGGATTTTTAGACCATTTTCAATCAGTTTGCAGTAACATTTTACTAAATCTATTTGTGGCCATAAAAACTACAGGTATTGGAGTACCTTGTAGAAAACCTCTCTCTTTCAAGGAAAACTGCTGGGTTTCCCCTCAACCGTTACATTCATTCCATCCACCCACACAAGTATTAAGAAAAATATTTATAAAAAGTGTAAGAAAAATGTTAGAAAATCTATTTTATCAAATCAAAACATGGAGTTAAATCCAGCATTACCTAGGAAGTCATAATGATTCTGTTGAAATACAACAAAATCTGATTTCATGTGTTTCCATTAAACAAAACAAATCCATATGGACTTTTAAAATATATTTTTTCCCCACATGGTCTTGTTTAATGGCCTAGTTTTAAAGGATGAACATATGATAATGTTCAGAAGCAGAAGGCAGCTAAGAAAGTTCCTATGTCCTAAATGTAACTCAACAACTAAGATCTTGAATCATCTCGTGCTAACCACCATAAAGTTACTCCCATCAAGCATACAGCTTTATTAAGTTTCTCAAAAATATACAAAAATTATATTAATGGTAATTAAAAAAGAAAAAAATCAGACAGTTATCTCAGTATGACTTTTTTTGCCCACAAGGACCAGATAGCCAGATGTTTATAACACTGACACAGCAGAATTATTAGGCAAAGGATGCACCTTAAATATGTAGTATGATTAATTTTGTGTCGGCTCTCAATTAATTTTCATTTAGAGCTAAGAAATTAATAAATAGACTGCATTTTGTCTATTCAGGTGGTATATAAATGATTTAAAATTATTTGGTAAAAGAAAGCAGGACTACTGCCAACACTAGCTCAGATCAATGACAGTTTTGTGTAACCACAAACTCAAGAGCCTGAGGAACATGGAATGATTCTTGGGGGTGTCCTGCACCAGGCAAGAAGTTGGACTCGGTCCCTGTGGGTCCTTTACAACTCAGAATATTTGACAATTCTACAAGCAAAATTCAGAACACAAATGCCACAGCCTCTAAATAACAATGGCTTCACTCAATTTTGTAGACAACGTCATCTGTAAGTTTTATTTAGGCAATGCTAAGATTGCCCTTTAGCTTTCTCTTCAGCGACTGAAGATGTCAAGCTCCCTCAGCATCTCACCATGGGTCATATGCTTTAGCTCCTATCATTTTGGTTTGCTGGATCTTTCCTTTCTTTAGTTTATTTGGAATAATTTTTTGTGAAGAAAATTATTTCATATTTACCCCAACTACAATATTCTACATTGTAAGGTAAGAATATATATTCTAAAGTACAATATGAATGCTACTGTAAACCTTCACAATCACGATACACATTACAATTCTAAGGTTTATTTTATATTTAGTTAACATGACCTGACAAAAACATGGACAAAGCATAAAGCAATTTTTTTTATATTTCCTTTTAACTTAGCACTGAGCTTCCCTTACCCTTTTTTTTTGAGTTCTTTTCTGCAAAACAATCTAGAATTCTCAGATTTGAGTCACTGATAGTACTTAACACTTTGATGCACATCTCAGGAACAGATGAACAAATTTTGACAAAAATTGTATCAAGTTTATTTATGAACTCTCGATAATACCATTATGATGAGTTTTTTTGCCATTCTGACAACGATTTTCTGAACTGGATTGTCTACTATTGCACTGCCACTAGTGGGAGCAAAATATAACACCTACAGAAACACTGATCTGAAATACCAGTTTCCTTGAGTTGAAAAAAGGTTCTCATCACAACCATTTTCAGTCAGATGACTTATAAACTCCAGGTGAGCTGTTAATGCCTTTCCAGAGCTGTCTACATGCTAAATACAATTTCTTCATATTCCTTCAGAAGAAAATGTATTCAATGCAAGAATTTTAGACCTGAGGGTTCAAGAAGCATGTAAAAATCTCTAGTATTTTGGAAGCGCAAGTGTAGTTTTTGGAAGCACATCCCTTCTGTCTTCCCAAAAACTTAGAATGGAAGGCAGACATTTTCACATCATTATAAAATCATGTATCAAACTGTAATGTAATATAATACTGACCATCATACTCATATTCCATGCATATAAACCCCTATAACCAACACACATGCTGTTACATATTTTTATCTTGTAGAGGCAATTTTGAAAAAAAAAAAAAAAAAAAAAATCAGGCCTGGCTAACCTTGAACAAGTCCAAGAAGTCCTAATAGGTGAGCCACTAGTGAGAACCCTCTTGCAGCACAGAAAAAGAACAAGGCCTCTGCATCAAAGTTACAATGGGATAGTTCGATCACCCAGACTATATTGTTTTCTTTTAAAGGCATTACCCAGAATTTACAAAATATATTACAAAATTCATGGTCTTATTTTTCCTATGACCAAAAAATATATAACAGATTAATGTAACATTTACAGATGTCTTAATATCAAATCTGGAACTGCATCACTTGAATAACCATATAACTTCAAATAAATTAATATTTGCTGTTCTAATTTCCTTAAGTCATCTAAGCAGTTTTTTTAATTAACATTTTAAATACAGAGTAAATACAAAGAAAACAAAGGACACTTATTTTTACATTTCCCCAGAAGAGCAGCCTTAAAAAATTCAAACATCAGAATCCCTTTCTATTGATGCATCCTTACTTTTTATTGAAAAATAAATGGATGAACAAGCTTGATTTACTTATATTTCTAAAAAATATTTACACTTTTTATCTTCTGATATTATCCAAAAATCTAGTTAAAAACAAAGCACTAACAGCTCTAGAAAGACCGTGTAAGAAATACAGACCTCTCAAAATTCCAATGTTAAATGATTATGAGAGTAACTCAGGCATATTTTCCCACAATCCAATCCTACAGTCTTTTGCAACCAAAGAGTATTTGATTAAAGCTACCAAAAATATTCCATAAAAACTACCGTGACAAAATTATAAGCATAGATGAGACTAACCAGTGTTTTGGGTTCATCTTTGAAAACGATGCTTTAAAATACCTTTTAAGGGCAGACCAGTCTTTAAGCATTTCCAGCCATACCCACAAGGGAGCACAGTACAGCCAAAGAACAGACTCAAGTGAGAGCTGAGTGTAAGAGAAACAAATCAACTGGTAGCCAGTCCAGACAGGCTTGGTCACACTATAGTGTAAGCCTGTCAGCCACCATTTGAATACTGCTTTCCAGTCTTTCAAAGGGCCAAGGTGCACCCGTTCAGAGAGCAACAGAGCAAATTACATACATGGATTCAGTCTTACACAAATAAAACGTATCAAGCTTCTACTACTCTAAATGAATGCATTTTGGTAGTCTCCCTTTATAGTTAACAACAAGAAGTTTAGCTATGTTTGTTAAACACCTCCCTTATCTGATGCTTGGGTGTTTTCTTTTTTTACTCATCCTGTGACCAAGTCACAAGGAGGAAACCAATGGCCCAGGCACCAAGCCAACAGAGGAGCACCTTTTATTTCTAAGAATGGCTTTCGTATGCATCAGCACAAAATTACTCCAGTGCGTACACCTACCTGTGTAAGGGTTAAATGCTGTAAATAAGGACATAGGCTTTGGGCTGATTTTTTTTGTTTCAATTTTATTAAAGTCAACAATTTTGACAGGCCAACATACACAGTGTTCATTTATTTAGATACAAAACCTCCCTTTTTCATTTTAAGCTTTAAAGTCATACATAATTAGTCATGTGAGACATGAACACATCATTAGGCACCTCCCTCCAAAATTTAGAAATTCTTCTCACGACGAAATGTATGCTAAATGGCGCAAAACGTGCCAGCGCAGCTAGGAATATTAGAAGGTCTTTTTTTCTGAGCCATTTTCCCTCTACTTCCTCATTTTTTATTATTCTTACTCTGTAAAGACACCACAGCTCTGAAGCAAGAAAGGATTGTATTAGCTGGTATGCATCAGCCTATGATGATGTGCTCAGGTAAGCAGCCCATGAGCTGCTCAAAAAGAGAAGCCAATCAGCATGGAGCTGCATGAATCCTGCCTAGTGACAGGCAGCAGAGAAAGGGAAGGTCATGGGAAAATGAGGGAGGGGGGGAGAGGGAGAAGCTACAATCTAAACAATAGTGCATAATGGGGTTTGCATAACATCATGGGTCTAGAACAGCACCAGCAAAGGGCTCCTCGAGGGCATGCAGCACTAGCCAAATGCGCCACAACCATAAAACGTTAGCCAAAGCACATGACTATATGGAAGAAGTAAAATTCACTAATAATGAACATCAGCACTCAAATGTGCAAGCCTACTTAAAATACAGCATAGCCAAATCAAAGAAAGTGAAGCAGCAAATGGTCATGAGTATTGTGTTCTAGATGGAGACTTCCAGAGAATGAAAGTGGTGAATAAAACCTACCTTTTAAGTAGTGGTTCATAAAATGCAGTTTTCAGTTGAAATCCTCAATAGCAATTTCGATTAAGTTGTCAGAAATTTACAAACTATTTTCAAAGAAGGAAAAAAAATATTGTTTGGGACCTATTCTTATAAAAGACATAAGTAAATGATGCACCAATAATTTGGTTTTCTACCAGTAATACAAGTCTACTGATCTGGCTGAATGGAATACACACCACCAGCCTAGTGAGCTCCACATACAACTGTGCCTTTGTTTTTAAATGTAACAAACAAAACAGAAATCACACGATTATCGTATGTGCAAATAATAGTTCTTCTAGCACACCACAGACTATTTCAGGTTTTGTCCCTTTTAGACTAAAGTTATGTTAGTGTTAGCTGAGAATAGGGAGAAAAATACACCATATTCTAAGAAAAAAAAGTCACCATGCTGCGCTATTTCACCTAGTGCACACACAGCAGAACCAAGGTGAACTGTAATGAAAAACCCCTTCAGCTCATTTGTGCCCGCCACATCCCGATCTGCTGCGGCTCGCAGAGCGGGGAGCGAGAGGCACGTTCCCCTGCGGCGGAGCCCTGCAGTGCCGCGGGCGCTCCCCAGAGGGCGCCCGCGGAGCCCCGCCGGCCGCAGCCCGCGCGGCGACGGGACGGACCGGCAGGCCCGCCTCCCATTGGCTGAACACAGCAGCCGCGCGGCAGCCAATCAGATGGGAGTGCCTTGAATTCCACCCAGCAACAAGCCCCACGCGGCCGGCCTGGGGCGCGGGCAGGAGCGCGGGAGAGCGCGTTAAACGAACGGGATTTTCCAAAGGGAGCAATAGAAAAAGCCAAGGGCTTTCCGTTTGAGACCCGGGGTTGCACAACAGGCGCTGACCCACGAGTGCGGGTGCACAGCCTCGCTAACCAACAGGTGTTTAATGCGCGGGAGCATTTTTAGGCGATCACTAAATTCCTGCTATGTTGAATGCTGAATCAGAAAAACCTCTTGAAATCCAACCTGGGTTTGACATTTGGAAAACCTCCTTTTCTTGAGATCCTATGCAGGAACACTTTTTTAAGTATTCCAACAAAACACAAAACAGTGTTTTGTCATGACTGCAGTATGACTTCTGCCTTGAAAGGAGAAGCCAATCTCCCCTACCTTTGCAAAAAAATGCCTTCTGAAATTCAGCTAAACATTATGCCCACATAGGTAACTATGCCTAAGAAAAACAGGCATCTACATGGTTAAAGCCTTCTTAAACCAGAGTAAACTCACAGTACCATTTCAAAGAGGTTGGTCCTGTTTATTGTATATGTGATAGCGTCATGTACAAACTTGAACTATGCTCTCATCACGTTGATGTCACAGTAAGTTAAGCACTTCTCTTGTGTCTCCTCCAGAGGAGGATAATACCTCCTCTGACAATGGCTTATGGATCTATTTCTCATACCAAATTTTAGAGTTTTTTTTCCTCCGTGATGCTTTGATACTTTGTGGGAAAAATGAATTCCTTGTGGGACAAAAATGGCTGGCAGGTCTATTTACCTGGCTAAGATATTTCATCTGCTGTTGGTTTTGCAGAGTTGTTCTTACATGTTCATCACTTTATACCTAGGTAGTTGTATTCTTTGGAGGATGGAAGAATGGAAAACAAGTGAAAAGTCTTTCCTACACAACTTTTACAAGCAACTTAAGTCCCTTAGAAACACTCACTATTTAGCACATGATGCTTAGGCTGATTCTCCAAGAACTGTTATCTTTTTTCTGTATACGGAATTTTAACAGCTATTTAGATTATTAAACTAGTAAAACTGCATGACTGGAACTCAGCCAGGTCAACAAGGCTGTGATAATGTGTTTTCTTACTTCCCACAAGTGTTAGAGATTTCAGCTTTTATCAACAACTCAAAACAGTAGCTCTCAATTCAGCCGTGACATCTCCAACCACTAAACAAATCCTGCTGTTTTAAACAGTGGTAACTGCAAAATTCAGCTTTCTTACAGAAAGAATTTTTTAGCACAAGCTAAAACACTAAAGAAGTTTGGTGGGTTTTTTTAAATTAAAAAAAAAGGATTTATGGACTATGAAGTTGAATTTGTGCATTTAAAGATACATTTGATGAATATTATTGTACACAGTCTCAATGTTACAGTTCCATCTCTGGCACAGGATAAACAGGTTCAATTTCCTTTCCATTATCCTTGAATATGAGTAGGACCTAATAATTCCATAGCTATAGTCAGTAACTGCCAAAACACATCTACAACTAAAAAGTTACTCAAATTCTAATATTCCTAACTTAAAACCTGAACAACCTGAATTAATTGTTCATGCAGATCAAAAAATATGAGACATTCTGTGGAAAAAGAATCTCAGAATAAAGGCAAGATGTTCTGATCATGCTTAGGCTTTTCTAGGCATTATAAAATGCAGTATTTTCTCCTTTTAAAAGGAAATTCTTTATACATTTTAAATCTAGAATTTTCAGTAATTCAACAGGCTACAACTTTGACATGGTATCACTAACATATGCATATTTGCAACCCTTGTCTTCTGTTAGACTGTAGAATATCACTATTGTAATGAAAAAACAAACATATTTACCATGAACAATCTATTGTCTAGATTAGTTCCCATATCACATCTGTAGCGATGCAATCAGAGGTGAGCTACCTGATGCTGACAGTGATCCCAAGTCACTTCTCAAATGCCAGACGAAGCAGAAGTGAAAAAAAAACTTGTAACAAAAGAGGCGATGCTGCATTGAAACATTACAGTTTGCCACACATATAAGCACCTTTTATGAGTTATTTTTGCAAAGATTGCGTTTAAAAAGCAAGTTTAAATGGAACTAAGCCAGCAGTTGGTAAGCTGGGTGTTGGAAAGGTTTCCCCGGGGAAGACACCGTTTGTCGGCAGGGGCAGCACACCCTGCCTCGCCCGCGCCAGACCTGCTCGGCACAGGGGCAGCACACAGGTTTGAAGGGGCACGTCGCCAGGGCGCGAGGAAACCAGCTCTTCCATAAACTGAAGCCTGGTGGAGACTCTGAGCTGTTCGGGGCAGGGAGGCTATTTCCCGTTTCCCACATGAAAGGATCAGTTTTCTTTCAGTGAGTGTCTGAGACAGGCCAAGGCAGCACCTCGGCAGCCATCTTGTCCTCTCGTCGGCTCCCTAGCCGATGGCGAGGACGGCCAGAGATTTGCATACCCGCTCAGGATTGGCTGCTGCAGAGCTGCTTTGCATAAAGCAAATCTGCCTGGCAACAGGCTAAAAATAGCCAGCGCTGCTGCTGCTGCTGCCGCTGCTGCTGCTGGGAGCGGCGCCGCAACGGGGCGGGAGCGGCCAAGGCACGCGCAGCCATCCTATCGTGACGATACGTGTGGGCACGGCGCACTCAATTCCCTCAGGGTTTCAGTGGGGTTTTTTAAGTGACAAAAAATAATTCTGAGGTAATTATCTTTTCAAATCAAAACAAACTATTACAGTCTGCACACTGTCTTCTTTCTCACTTTCGTTTCTAAGCAAGCTGGGACAGAAGCCATCTTACTTACTGTAATACCTCATGACATGACAATGGAGTAATCCACAACACCTGCAACAAATGGCACCTAATCCTTACTAGGTGTGGACTCCTACACAAAGTTCTTGGCTCCTCAGTTACCCCTTGTTAATCACACCTCACCAGAAACATACCTATACTGTTCCATTCCTCCACTTGAAACTAAAAACAGTGTGGGATTTGGAAGGACAAGCAGGATGAACTAAGAAAAGAAACTCTGTAAAAAGAGAAGGCATTTTAAGAATAAAATTTAGATACAAAATGGAGTCAGTAAAGCGCAAAATCTAGAAGATGCTATGTACATACATATTCTTTGATACTAACACCAGCAGTAATTTACATGTGCGTAATTTTATGACTTCAACCTACAAAACAGGAATCATCTACAAAAGTTTCATTTTCAGCAGTACTGAACTGATAGCATAAACTCTTCTGACCGCTTCTGACCATAAGCAAATAAAGAGGTTTCCACACCTTTCTATTCAATGCATCCGCTCCCAGTTTCTGTTTCATGGAACTGGTAAAGGCAGGTGAAAGCCAACATCCTAAGTTGAATGAAGCACCCAATGCACACAGGACATGTACAGCTGTCTACCCTAGCTTTTGGGCAGCCTGAAACATACCATCTGATACTAAGGTACTCACAAGCACGGCTAGAATGAAAAAAAACTCTTATTTTCTTTGTCACAATTAAATAAGGAGAGCAGGAAAAAAAGTGGCCAGAGCAGGTGGTTGGTCACAGAGATCACTGAATACAGTTGATATCTTCTGAATGACTCAACAAAACAGAATTACAAAAATTAAACAGAAATCCCAATACGAAGTAAGTGAAATTAGACAAAAAACTGAGTATAAAAAAGCTTCAAAATAACATTGGGGGGAAATGCCACCATCACTACCATCAAACAGACCAAACCATATAATTTTTCTCATGAAAATTACAGTTTACCCAAACTTTATTACTTGTACCTAGTGTTAGGACTGTTTGTCGCAAGCATTCTTTAAGGAAAGGTAGCTTATTGCACAGATGTTAATTAGCTACTCCTAATGCATTTCAGTAAAAACTGTGTCTCCTACCAGAAGACATTTCTTCATTTATCAGAAGCTAAATGTTTTCCAAAGGAAACTAATGTTGTGAAGTTATGGGAACTAGAAAAGAAAATGCCAACCTAATATTCTATTCCTTACTAGATACAGAAAAAGGAAAAAAAGAACATTTTTAGTACCAGTAACACATTGTATTAATATGCTAAGGATCCCAGATAATGCATGTAATTCATGTTTTGACAATTATAAACAGTTGCTTTTTAATAAAGTTCTATGGCAGTTAATTTCTTACTGTACAAAGCATGCAACCAGAGAAAGGCTAATTTATTCCAGTAAAAGTCTGTAATGGCAGATTAAATTATCTTGGATCAGTGGGTGGACAATTATTTTTCTGTATTTGGTCTTAGGCAAAGATTTGTCACATCTCACATTTGTAAAGACTTGTAACAAAACGACCAAATGTGTCACCCAAACGGTCCTTTAAATGTTTCAT